GATAGAGATCTGAGATGGGGAGCTTCGGTTTCCTCTTTGTGACTCATCAGATGCCTTTGATTTCAGAGAGAGAGGAGAGAGAGATATGAGGAAAAAATAGAAGATAGAGATGGGGATTTGGAGCTTGAGAGATCGATGGAGATGGAGATTGGCTCAAGCAGATTTGGCTTATCCTTTGTGAACTTCAATGGAGTTGTCATAGAGAGAGAAGGACGAGAGAGAGGTCTTGGGTGAGTGAGAGATTGACAAAACAGAGAAAGACTCTTTTTATTTATACTTCTAACCAAAAGCCCCAAATTTGCTGTTAATGGTGTTCGAAGGAGAGATCTCATTAAAAGAATGACATACACGTGTTGTTTATGTTTTTTGGTGTTTTTGCAGACACCAATTTTTTGTTTGTAAATTTGGGGTTTGTTTTCAAAACAACTTAGATGGAAAAAAAATAAAAACAACTACCGAACATGGTGTTGTTTTTTTTGTCCAAAATAGAAAAAAAAAATGGTTACCGAACAAAGCCTAACAAACTGTCCTAGTCCTTAAATTTGACCATGTAAACACACCATTGGCCAAAGAAGGATCCCTAAGTTTTGTTTCGCTAATAAAAGTGTCAAAATCCCTCATGCTCTTTGTTATACTTCCCCATTTAACTTTTCTATTGGGTGTCTTATAGCATTAAAATCACTTCCAATACACCACTTGGGCCTACAAAATCCTAATAATCCTGCTAACTCTTCTCACAAAGAAATCCTATCCCTAGGCCTATTAGGCTCATAAATTCCCGTAAGTCACCAATCAAAACCTTCTCTGTGTTTAATTCTAACACTAAAATATAATCCCCTTCAAGGGATTCTTCAACATTAATCAATCTCTCATCCCAACTAATGACAATACCTCTTGGACTCCCCACTGACTGTAAAAAAACCCATTTCCTAAACCTATACCCCCATACACTACTTATAACTCTCCTATCAATCATTTCCATGGAAGGTTTGTAATACTCCAACATACATTACTGGAGACAAAACAGATGGGTGGCTTAAAGAAGCCCAAATATTAAGTAGCTTGTCTCTTCACCATAGATACAAAGACAAATTTCCTCTATTCCTCTACTTTGTCACATACATCAATCCACCCAAAGCTACTCCACCTTCTCCCTATACCTTTAATCAATTAAACCCTTTTGAACTTATTGTCGTTGACCCACCATTACACAACAACTAACTGGCGAGAGAGAAATAGAGGGAGGGGGGCTGGGGGGTAGAGAGAGTAAAAATGAGGGAGAGACAACTTCAAAGGGGATGCTAGGGGCAAACCTAAGTAGATTGATCACCACCCCAACTACTCATGGTCACCATCTCGAGTCAACCTCAACATAGCCTGCATTTTCTATCGATCCCAATCACTATCATTCCTTTACTTTGCAACAGCGACCACCTTCAATTGTTCTCGTCGTGGAGCAATAGTTCATCACCATTGGCGATCCATCTGCAATTTTCGAGTAATAGTTTGTTGTTATCAAGAACCTACTGAATTTAATTTTTGTTTGCATCTTTTTCTTTTCATTTTAATTTTGAAACTTTGGAATTTAAAATTCAAAATTTGGTGAATTAAGATGTTTTTGGGCTGTCAGAAAAGAAGTGTTTGCTGTTGAAGAAAGAGAGGAATGAAGGGCACAAGGTCATTTCAACATTTTCGCCAATGGTGCAAAATGACTTGAGCACAATGGTGGTAAAGTGAAGTCCCACCCCCCCCAAGAAAAAAAAAATAAAAAAAAAATCAAAACAATACTGTGAGGATTCATTTGGAAGGCGTTTCTATGCTTGGAAAACTATCCTACATTAGAAGGGAAGGAATCAATGACAGTTAATTAAGGCTACAAAAAGGGGCCAGTGGGCTTTTTTTCAACCACTTGCTTCAATATTGCTTACTTGTGGGGCTTTAGCTACAAAAGTGGCTGAGGCCTCTAAGGTGCTGCCTTGGGCTTGTGGCCTAGTTTTAGTTTAAATAATAAATATTGAATTTGGGGTTTAAGTTTTTGAATTCGCAAATTTATCATGAATTTGCTCTTAAGCGCAAATTCATGAGCAGAGCGTTGGAGCGTGACTTGTTTTAAACAAATTATGTGACTTAGGTAGTGACCCCTGGGACTTTTAGCTATACAGAGCAATCATGAATTTGAAGATGCATATTGATAATTTTTTATCAAGCCACAGTAGAATCAATAGTTTTCAGTTATTTTTGTTTTGCTATATATTTGAATGTGATCGATCCCCCATGTGAAATGGAATCCCCCTATGCACATTTTCCTAGAGCTGTACATATTTTTTAATAGTTTGATTGATGGCAATAACTAATGACCAGTAAGTTTTTGACATCTTTTTTGTGGTCATTTTTAAAAAGAAAGACCATCTCACCGGTCACGCTCCCATTATCATCCTCTAAGCCACTGTCAACTATCATTTACCCTAACTTTTATTATGACTTCATACATCGCTTGCCATTTCTGATGGTTCCATCAACAATACTAGTATCTAGTGGCATTATAATTATGCTTTAACTAACACTTCTGATGGAATTCCCGTTTTGAAGAGTTCATGTATCATTAAAAATCTTATCTAGAGATAAATGCATATGATTTAGAGAGAAACTAAGATAGTGATTTATGGTAAGTTTAGGGAAAAAGATAATTGGATGGTGGGTTATGGAGAATTTGAATTGCTCAACTCGCGAAGTGTTGTGTTTCTAGGTTGTTGTAGTGTTGATCCCGATGTTTGATGAGGTTGTTGGGAGAGTATATTTACCACTGTTGTGATGTTTGGTAAGAACATAATGGTGTTGATGTGTTGCACGGGGGGTGTGGTCGGATATAGTGGTAGGCATAAATTCTTTAATCATATTTGTTGCAGTAACAATTTCATTTGGAAATGGCAGAGGGTGCAGTGGTGGTGGTTTAGGGTCAATAAGAGAGAAATGAAGTACTATAATTTATTTGTTTTATGTTTGTGATTCGTTGTTCATTTCATTTAGTAGCGTAGTCATTTTATGAGATTCTGAGGTTGTGCTATGTGATCCGGGCTGACATGACTTTGTTTGGGTGAAGCATTGAAGATTCTAGGCGTTGTTCCTCGTTGATTATTCTTTACCCTCATCTATATTTCTTGTTTTCTTATATATTCTAACTTCAAGCCTGTAAATCTCTCTCTCTCTCAACTGAAAAATCTAGGAATAAAGTTACGACTACGATACGGTACGAATACATCAATATAGTAAAACCTAAAATTGGTTACTTTATGGCCACGATGCGTCAATAAGAGATTGCGTTTTATATTTTTACTCTTATCTGATGACTTCATAAATAAAAGTTCTAGTAAATTTTTAAAAACAATACCAAAATTTAGCAATTTTTAGTTTGAAAGAAATATGCATCGTCTCATAATGGCAATATACGTAGAGACCGTGACTGATTAAAGCAATCAAAGCACATATTTAACTAGTTTGTTTGTTTAGAAGTATTTTTTGTCAAGAGATATGGTGTAATTAATTATTTTAGGCTCTTTTGACATTTGATAGTAGATAATGCTTACAAAACACCTATGTGTCTTTAAAGTCATATGAATTTTTCTATATTTGTTTTGTTGTATTGTACGTGAATTCAAGAAAATAGCGTAGAGATTATAATAAAAAATTCTACATATTGCTCTTTGTATTCACTTCCATATCCGATGCACATTCATTTTGGATTAAGTATATGCTATGTATTCAAATAATTTATTTATTAATTAAAATGTAGGGTGTGTATCTGAAGTGTATTCTCAAGTATTGAACGATGATCGTATGTTATATGGTAGCCGATACCGGTATGTTGACCTTAGCGGAATATCTGTTTTAAATAACAAAAATTCTTTATTTACCAAGTCCAATCATCTAAAAAATTTGGTCGTAACCACTAAAAAATCATAAACAAGACTAAGCTTATTGTTTATGAGTTTTGCTGACAGCAATCAGAACAGTCTCCAAACGTTCTTGTTTATTGCCTTATCAATTCCTAATTTACTGTAACCCAAATTCTGCCCTTTGGATTTTGATTCAACAACAAAATTCATAACACATGCTGTGCAGAAAGTTACAACACACTCCTTGATTTCTTCACCATGCCACTTTTAAGATACATTGATACCTTTTGCAACCACAACCCCTGTTAAGTTTCTTCTGATCTTCCTTGAGCATGCCATTTTGAAGACACATTGCTGCTCTTTTAACAAATCCTAGAACTTTTCTTTTACTTTGCGAAAATTCAAGCTCTAGAAGCTCTCTGGAACCAAAAATCGCCATGTGGTCAACCATAGGCAGCATAATTGTAGGTTTGTTGTATTGGTGCTTTATACAGTTTGATTTACAATTAAGCAACAAAAACTTATTCCAAGGCTGTAAAGGCTGGCGAGAATGGTCCTGTCTATGCTTATTTGTCGCTATTGACTGTTGTACATGTGAAGATGGAATCTGGTATGGCATCATCAGAAATCCATATAAACTTATGTGTCTTAAGTTGTTTTATGCGACTGTATTTTCAATTTTCTGTTCTATCTCTATTTTTGTGTGTGCATGCTGAATGGCCGCATGATTGGAAATTTATTATTTACTATCTTATATCTTGAGAAAATGAAAGACATAAAACGGCGGAGTGATTGTCAACTCAATATTTGAAAGAATCCATGCATGGATTGGTAATGGAATGCATGCTTAGATAATCTGAGGAAAGCATGATGGTAAATGTGTCCTGATAAAACTACTCTCGTTCATGAACGTATAAAGGGGAAAATGCATAGTGATATGGTCTTCCAATTGTCAAGATTGTATAGTTATGTTAATGTTTAAAATTTTTTAGTCCTTGTTATACAACTTGATGCACCCTCTTAGATTGGTCCAAACTATATACACTTTTGGGTCTGAAAAAGGTTGTAAGATGCTCTCATTTTCTATAAGTTGTTGCTTGTTTATAGGTGGACATGCGTGATTTCTTAAATGCTCCAAATGGATCATCCAAGCAAGCGATTCCCGTCAATGAAAGGTTGGATGCTGACCCCTCAAACTCTCCATTGGGCGGGCGGACGGTATGCCAGAATTTTGGAAATGATGCATATGGATTGTTACCTGAAAAGTCAAATGCTCTATTCGAAAGTGAGAATTAAGAGTTTCTTACCTTGCAGGATGTCTTTGACTTGCCTTTTCACATGGCTAGAGATCAAATAGAAGAAAGTCTTAGAAATAAGATGGCCTCTATAAAGGTAATTTTGACATGTTTTTTTTCTTTTGATGGTTGTCTTGATGAGAAATTCTTAATGCTTGCATTACTGCTCTTAAATTTATAGGAGCGGATGGGTCAACTACAAGATGCACAAAAAGAAGCAGAAGTAACTTCTGAAGTAACTGAGAGAGAGCTTGAGCTGGAAGCTCAACTTGTTGAGGCAAGGAGCATTATTCAAGAGCAGGTGTGAACTGTTACCATTTGTGCAAATTAAAAGATGACTTTATTATTGACATATTATCATGGACTTTGGTCTATGATTGTTGTGTTGGGATAGTGTACATGTTTGTGTGTAAATGATGCTTGGTATATGGGGGCAATGGATGAGGTTAGACCAAGAGGTGGTGGTGCAATATTAGGTGGTTGACAATCAATTGAGTTGTCATAAAAATTTATAGCGTGGTCGACTTTGGTGGATTATAGAGTGATGGGGGCTGGATGTAGATCAAGTATTCATTTTAATGTTTATATCACATCGTGATCGACTCATGGTATCTTCATCCAATAATAAACTACTATGTGTTCTGGTGAACCCTCATATGCATATGTGGTAGTTATTAGGGGATGTGGTGGTGGTTGGATTATGTAGAGCTCACTATACCCATATGAAGGTTTATTATTAGATGGTGATATCATGTGTTAATGATGATTTGGTATCAAACCATCACGTGTTGATGATGATGATTGGATGGTCAATGATGGTTTTGTTGAGATAGTATACCTGTTTGTGTGTTGCTTGGTTTATTGAGGAGATGGTTCATGGCATGGGGTTTGCAATAGAGAAGTGTTAGATGATCAATTGGGTTATCTCATAAATTTATAGCACGGTCAGCTTCGGTGGATTATAGAGTGATGGGGACTAACTATTGATTAAATATTCATTTCAATGGTGGTACTACAATATGATCGACACGAGGTATCATCATCAAATAATAAACTACCGTATGGTCTGGTGAACATTACATGCACATTTGGTAGTTATTAGTAGATGTGGTGGTGATTGATTCGATTATGTAGGTCTCACTATGTCCATATAGATGATGATATCACGTGTCAATAATTTGGTATTGTACTATCACTATTGCAACAAATATTTACTTCAATATGTGCCAGGTTGTTTTCAAAGTATGCTAGGGAGCATGGTTATGAGAGTTTTATTGGTGGATTATTTATAAATTATGGATGTCTAGGTACCTATGTTATTCAATTGACACAAAAGAGAGGGAATGAGAGGAAAATGAAGAGGGTAACAACAGCACAATGGTTGACATGGTTCAAAGTCTTAGTATTGGTCATCGACTCGGAAGATATTGATACACATTGGTTGCGTCATTGCCACACGGTATAAGTCGATACACTCAAAATACTAGAATAGGTTGTCCAAAAAAATCACAAAAATTTTTAAATACCATAAATAATGTGGATGCATCATATGTTCAAAATACATTACCTATCGCATCAAACAAAGTAAAAATGGATTACAAGGACGTTATCGTGAATGTTTATCATTAATTTACGTATATCTATGGATCATTCTCCTTACTATATGCCCAATTACATATAAAAGCAAAAACCTAATAAAAATATTAATTTAACATGTTTAAGTCATTAACACAGATATGTGTTACAAATAAAATATTTATAAATATATTAAATATTTAACTTTACTCACCAAAAAAAACCTTCACCTACACATTTAAGAATCGAGCAATATTTACAGAAAACAAAACAAAAATTAGTCCTATTAAAAATGGAAATTAGAGGGGAACAAAAATAACATAACCTAGACATTTAAGGACAGACTGGGCCACTGTCTTTCATTTCTTTTGGTTCCCTTTTGTGTGTGATAGAGAGAGAGAGAGAGAGAGAGACCGAAGTTAGGAGATGAGAAGGGAGAGCTTCCCTGAGTGGCGAAGAGAAAGAGAATGATAGCAAAGCTATCAAAGGAAGATACTCTGCCATAGTGTAGAGCTGTGATGTGCTATCAACCATGTTGGGTCTTTGCTACAAAGAAGAAGATGAAGGAGGATGAGGGGATCTCTATATTAAAGGACATTTACAGATTTGTGTTACAAAATTTAGGAATTCATTGTTTTGTCTATGTAATGGCAAAGGAATCTGATTTAGGGTTTAATAGTGGACAATTGCTTGTGGTTTTTTGCTTTTAGGCTTGAAAAATTGCAGAGAACGTTTTGGGGTTCTGCAAGCTGTGATCTACCATTTCCCTTTCTTTCCTATTAATCCATTTTTTTGGTTGGTTTTTTATTGCAAGTTGGGTCTTTTTCGGGAATGTGAGTCTCCAACTTCATCTCTTTTGCCTTTTTCTTTGGCATTTCACTGTTATCTGAGATTTGGTGAGCCATATTGTGTGTATTGATTCGGTTCAGTTGTGAATCGTCTGACTTGCACCAAGTTGTACTAAATCAGGACCGATTCATGTGAGACTCGAGATATCTTTGTATTGTCTATGCTTTTCGGATCATTGGAGGCCAAGTCGGATACAACTTGGCTGATGTTTAAACCCTGAAACCTCATTCATTGTGGGTGAAAAGAAGATAACAGTAGTGTTGCATTTTCCATGATATGACGAATTGTTATGGTTTGCTTGGCTTTTCAAGGGTAATTTGGGTAGTTTGACTCTTTTTTTAGGCTGACATGAGAAAANAATCTTTTTTGAAGTGTTATTTACATTTACTCAATAAAGAATATTTTTATTTAGTTAATCTCCTTTAATAATCTCATTATTTTTGTTTTGGTCAACACCAATATTATGAATAATTGTTTGACTTTAAATTATTTGTATGGGAAGTGTGTTATCAAAAACTCTTGAGATATGATTTTAGGCTATCTTTGATATTATTTGAGTCTGAGCCTTATTCTTGGAATATTATTATCCCTAGAAGCCGTGATTGAGCCTATGAAGCAAAATTTTATTTTTTATACCCAACATATAATAACCAAGCCAATAAAAAAAATATCATTTACTCTTGGTTATCCCTAGATTGAGCTTTTTATTGTTTATGTAATTTGGAAGATGTTGGTTGGGAAAAGATGTTCAAGATAGTGAAAAAAAGAAAAATATTGCATACTTGTGAATACTTGCATTAGATATTTTGCTGAAAAAAAAATATATACGTTCAGTTGTCTTGCTAAAAAAAAAATAAAATAGAGAAAAAATAGCAAGCATGAGTTTAAAAAATATATATATGAGCTAGTGCTGAAAATTGTGCTTCTAAAAACTGAAGAGTGAAAGGCAATGGAAAGAAGTTTGGTTGTGTAATGTAATGTTCTCTCAGGATAACTTTTTGAATTCCTATCATTCGTTTCAAAACCCTAATCCAAAGGCCCCATTACAACCTTAAATAAAGACCTATCTAATCTCAAGAGTGTATTGGTAGATGCATAACTCATGTGAATAAGGAAAAGAATGATGATTATTTGTTTATTGTGTGTTGATTTCCTTTCATGAGACTATGTCAATTCCTTTTCTTTTGAATTACGTTTTTTTAATAGACATGTAAGCATTATTTTGTTTTGATTTAAATATCTTCTTCTCATATGTTATATTTGAGGAAATAGTCACTATAATCTGAGAGAATCTTTTATGAATGAATTATCTAGTGAGATTTGACATTAAGACGAATAGTTGATAGTTGTAGAGGTGATTACCAGATAAATTGTTAACTTGGTATAATAAATTCACACTACACACGATTTTATATAGGAACATGATAAGTGCATGCATTTATATAGCGTAGAGTTCTATGTTTTGCTTTGCATGTGTTTATAAAAAGACTTACAACTTAAAATTTTTATATTGTGATAGCAATTTGTGTTATAAAATTATTATTCAGATATTTGATCACAGGTTGATGTTTTTGGGTATCATTTCTGAAAACTCTCACAAGACTATACTCGTTCACTAGGGGGAACCTAGCGGTTTAAAGGCTTGTTACATATGATAAATGCAACTGTGAAGCCTACGAAAGTGGTTTTATTTTATTTTGGTTAGTTTTTTTATTTTTGTTGTTTGCCTTACTAGGGACTAGCAAGTTCTGAGTTTGGGGGGGGTATGTGTACTGTAATACCATGTTTAGCAGGTTTCTATATATTGCGAACAAGATAGTAGCTCCCTGAAATTATCAGAAACTTCAGGGAGGGTTTTTGATGTTTACTATAGAATTTTATTTTGAAATGTCCGTTTATTCCCAATAAATGCACGCAATGAACCTTTTAAAGTAGTCTCCGGTGAACCAAGCATATTTGCTGGTCTTATCAATGGAGTAATGTTTGTAATCAAATTACATGTAGGCTAGCATTTGACTATTTATAGACATTGACAGGAGTGTAATTTTATGACACGTTAAGGACAAGTCAATTGCTTGTGGATCTGTTACATAAAACTTGCATATCCACATTCACAGGGAGGAACCCTGAAGATTGAAGAATAAACTTAGTTTTGCATCACATACACACATATCCACGCACACATCTTTATATTATTGTTATGTAGCCTTTGGCCTTAGATATTGGAACGGCAAAGCAAGTTCCATATGCAGGATAACAAAGACGATAATAGTTTTGGAGCTAGTTATGTATATTCAAAGCATGCTCTTATGCATATATTTTGAAGTAACTGATTATTAGTCTTCTGTAAGATTCTAGATATGAGTCCTACATGTGAGACATGGATTTCGTTGTGTTGACATTTCCTTCTTTCTTTCTTCTTGGTAACAATGTGACCCTTTTTTTTCAATGTTGGTCTTTGTGGAAGTATTGTCAACTCTTAACTAAAAATAGAAGTTTAATAGCCATCATAATTTTCCCTCCGGTTGTGTTCATGCCTTATGCTTCACGGTGCGAGTGTGGGCATTTTGAAATGCAGCCTGATTATTTGCCATTTTTGAAACATGTTTGCTGTGCAATTTTTCTTTTCATTGGGATAATGATGAAATCTAATCCTGTCACATTGCAGGCATCCATAATGTCTAAGCATCTTGCCAAGTCTGATAGGCCAAGGTAATACTTTGTGGGACCTCACTTCTTTTTTCTCCTCCCGGCTAGTAAATATCTAAGAAGTTATACGACATTATGCAGGAGACTCAGCGGCCACTTAAATTCTGATAGGGGCTCGATATCTCCTCCCGAGGTATAGAGTATATGCTGCCTTCTTGCCTTGCCACTTAGGAACCATTTAATCCTAAATTGAGTTTCTCACCTAATACAATTATATGAAGTTGCCCTTGTGATTAGATGTGGCAATGTGGGAAAACAAGCATGATTATTTTGATTCATTTCTATTGATGGTTGCCTGGAACTTCACTATGCTAATAGAACTGTTCACTCTCAAAGTTGGCAGCTAATGCT